CATTCTAACCACTAATAATTGAAGAAGTCTTAATTATGCACGAATATTCATTGAATTATGCATGTCAAAATGGATGACATTATTCTAGACCTAATTAATTTTCATCAGAATTACCAGTGGAATTCAAGCTATGGACGAGCGGATTGAGGTAGACATTCCTATCCCCAGACTTGAGTTATATAATAGACATGATTTTCAAGGCAAAGAATATTTCTCTCAACTCATCTTTGGTGGAGGCTTGACTATTGAGAGTCAATTGTGTGCTTATCGGCAAAAGCAGTAAGTTGCTGAAGTGTTATTAATGCAGATATTTAACATTAAAAGTGTAAAATCTTTTATACAATAAAAAGGACGTTCAGGAAAACTTAAAAAGCACAGAAATCGGAGTTCAGGACTGAAAGATAAGAGCTTTTGGATAAAAAATTAATCCGAGTGAAAATTTCATCCTAAAACAATGATGCCCCTCAAGCAAACTCGCCAAAAGCGATTTTAATCCTGCCTCTAAATCTCCTGAAGATCCAATAAAAAAACAATAATCTTCTTGGGAAAGCAATCATAAATATGGATATATGTATATAACTTATTAGCTCTGACGGCGTCCTTATGTCATGCATCATTATGCCTCACCACATTTATCTTCTAATAAAGTAATAGTGCACATTTTAACATTAATATATAACCCGTACATACCTGTACGTTTTTTTTGTGAATCAATAACTGATGCAGAATTAACAGGAGGAGAAATGGAATCAGAGCATGTGGTGGTTAGGAGACCGATGGATACATCTACTACAAGTTGAGAATCCGCTTTTCCTGATAATATAGGATTACCAACGAAATCGATAGGGGGAAGTGAATACGAAGTATTTGGACAGAAACTGCCGCCTTCTTCTAGATCAAGACGAGTTGATTGCTGAAACTGGAACAATGGTGAGGCGAGGTTCGGTCTGTCTACATGTATCCCAAGTTCATGAAGCTCAGGATTGACATGCATTCCTAGTTCTGGGGCTGAATAATGC